TGCAAATTTCGATCTGAAGATCTTCAAGTGCTTTTGCAATCTGCGCCTGCCTGTCCGCCCATTTCCTCGAGCAACTGCAACAACTGTCACAAAGGAATGCAATAAATGTCCTGCGCGTCATCACTGTGACGCATTAAGATCGCCTTGGCCAGGGCAGCACATAATTATCACCACAAGCTGCCGACGGCTGAGAAAGGGGTGCCTTAAGATGGCCTCGAAAGGGAAGGGTGCTTAAGGGTTGCAAACAGACATCCAGACAATGACTTCTTAGTAGCACATATAGGAGGGGGTAGCACGAAAAAAGAAACATTCTGTCCTCTTTCTTGTAGCGCCTCGCTGCTGCTGGCATAATTATGTCAACTTCTTGAAATGCCGCGCCGTTAAGTTGTCATTAAATCCATTTTCGGTCTATAGCCCTATAACGGAAGTGCGCTCGTTGCAATTTAAAAACGATCAAGCATAACTCATGCGCACGGTATTATGTGCTCCTAATTATGGGTGTCCATGTAGAGCGCACTGCGGGACATAACAGGCGGGCAGGCAGTCGGGGTGATGTGGCAAGGGTGCTCGAGTGGCAAAGGTTAAGAGTCTGTGGCAGTCTTAGAGATCAAGCTGTTCCATAAAGTTCTCAAATAAATAAATGTTAGCTGGTGAGAAGAGAAGTGGGAAGCTTTCTATTTTAAGTTTTTGCTGCAGCTGAGAAAAGTAATATCTATGACTTTTTCCAAGTTAGGAAACTTTTCCAAACTAAACTTAATATTTAATATGCTATCACAGATTGTTGCTAGAAATATTTGGTTTATTGTATACTTGTAAGCTTTTATACTTGTATATAGATTGCCCAGGTATTTTTTCTAAAAATCCTTACTTACAACACGTTATTGAGATTAAAAATAAAGTTTTTCGTACTAACAAGTAGAGTCGAGATTATTAAACTGTTGACACTGTTAGATCATGGTGGAAACATCTGATTTTATTTATATATTTATGTACTATATATGAGTATAAATCCATGAATGTTCTTTACTTGGTTCAACAGTTAAGTAAGAAATTCATGCAAACAAATATAATAATAGTTTGCCATTCTTCATTGTAGCAAGATCATAATAACTTGCAAGTTAGATCAAATACAGTTCTATCTTGGGCAGCGATTTAGTTGACAACAGAAAAAATAAATGTAAACGGCAGTTTTTGGAAAACAAAACTAAGAAAATTGCCAAATCAAGAGCAAACCCAAATGTACTTAGTATTTGAACGGCCTGAGGGTAGTAACCAGTTTTGCGAATGTCCGTTTCCGCATGACAATTGTAGAGCACTAGGCGTGGATAAAATAAAATTGCACATCCATTGCTTAGGGGCTGTTCAGGCCTCTAAGCACCGCAAAAGTTAAATGCGCTTTGATTTCAACGCGTGCCACCCCAGAAACCAAAAAAATATACGAAAACCAAACCATTTCCTTTATGTTTTTTTTTTTGTTGTTTTGTGATGCCTTTTTCTGATTGATTGCCATCAAAAATCCGCTTTTGGCATAACGGTAAATGCGCTTTGATTGCTGCTGCTATTATTGTTGAAGTTGTTGTAATTGTTGTTGTTGTTGTCGCGCACTGCAAAACTATTAATATATATTTTCAGCGGCAGTCGCCTAATCCCAACTTTCACGCACAATTGCACAGGAAAAGCAGTCGAAAAAAATGTGATTTTTTTTGCTGAGAAAAAATTGCGTAGATTTTTTGCCCATTTTTGTGTGATTGCAGCATTCATGTGTCGTTTTTAATTTAGGGTTGCCATAGCTCATCAACGCCATTCGATATGTTATCGTGCGTGTGCCGTTTTTTGACAGCTGTCAAGCGTATACATTTTCACCTTAATTAAGTGATATTAATCGTCTTTTGTCGCCTATCAACGGCTCAAAATCTTTGAAATTTTAACGCTGAAAAGGTAGGATTTTGTGATGGGTGTTAGCGTTAAGTGTTGCTGCCTACATTTAGGCGCGTGCCTAGGTCAACGCCCATACATACAATGCACACCAACAACACAACAACAATGGAAGCGGAACAGCAACGAAAAGCAATAATCATTTGGCATTAAAAGCTTTTAGTGCATAAGCATTTGAGCGCCCTTTCGGGTTGAAGTATAGAATGGAGTGGCCACGCATAATTTTCATTTTAGTGCCCTTTTTGTGGACCCTTTTTCGGTATGAATGTGTGTGTGTGTGTGTGAGTGCTCCTGAGGCGGCAATATTGTAAATGGAGGCGCATGTTATGCTCCTAGGTCGGGGTCGGGTGTAAAGTGTTTGCTGGCATAGTGTTGGCCCATATGCTCCATATGCTCTGCTTCTGCGAACTGGCAAACATTGTACATGCCAGTACTGTTATCTTTTGCATGTCTGGCCATTACATTAATTGGAATTATCAAAATGAACAGGCACAAAAGGCAAAGAGTTCAAAGGATACTTAAAAACCTACACTAACATGGTGCCATCTAACCTTAACGGGGCACATGTTTTCAAAGATAATGTTTTTAGTTTATTATTTTGGACAACAGGATTTTATTTATATATAAAAAAGCCATTTAAAAGGAGCCTACATCTACAACTTTTAACTTGAATAATTAAATAATAAACATGGAATAATTAAGTAATAAACAATTCTTACGAACATGCTAACTGAACGAAAAATACAAATGAAGCCAAGCTGGCTTTTTAAGGCTTTTAAATCTAAAACGGTGACTGAATGATAATTATGATTTGTAATTATTATTTTTTTAAAAACTTGAATAATTAAGCAATAAAAAATTGTTTACTGAACGAAAAAATGAACGAATGAAGCCAAGCTGGGCTTTTAAGGCTTTTAAGAAATAAGAAATAATTCTTTATAAGCCAAATAAATTGTTATAAATAAGGTATACAAGTACAAATATATCGATTTTGGTAAGAACACGATTCGCATCCTAGAGGAAGTCATTTTAAACTCCACTATGTATTTCCTTCTCAACTGAACCTGAACTTTTAGGAATCCGGTAACATCAAGAGGAATTGGGTGGGGTGAGGTGTCGGGTTGTGTTGAGGATCTTAACTATATTTATTTTATTTATTTCATCAACAAACAAAGCTGTCGTTGTGAAAAAAAATTATTTTATTATTTTTTAATAATTTTTTTATTATTTTTTAATAATTTTTTTATTATTTTTTAATAATTTTTTTATTATTTTTTAAATATTTTTTAATTATTATTTTTTAATTTTTTTATTATTTAAAAAATAAATTTTTCTTACTATTTTTTTAAAATATTTTTTTTTTATTTTATTTCTTTTTAAATATATGTATATTGTTTTTAATATTTGTATTGCTATTATTTTTTGTTTGCTGCGAAATCGGCCTGCAGATTTTTTTATTATTTTTTAATTTTTTTAAATTATTTTTTTTTAATATTTTTATTACTATTTTTTTTATTATTTTTTTTATTATTTTTTTAAATTTTTTTTTATTTAATTTTTTTTTTAAATATATATTTATATTGTTTTTAATATTTGTATTACTATTATTTTTTGTTTGCTGCGAAATCGGCCTGCAGATTAGGTCAAACCAAGACAGATTAACATTTAATACATATGATACCACTCTTACAGATTGGAAGTAATTTTGAAATCATGCTATAAATATAAAACTAAATAAAACTAAGGTATACAGAAAAAACCCTATAGAAATTAAAAAATTATCTAACAACGAATCCGACTCGGTGGCGGAATGTTATTAATGTTCATTCCCTTCTAGAATCCCTCTCGGACGTACCGCCTTAGGGATTAAAACATGTTAAATGACGTAGTATGTAGTTAGAAAAACCGCTGTTTGTTTCTTCTTCTTTCATTGTTGCTGCCTTTTGACAGTGCGTTGCCTTGTCAACGTCAACGCCAACACACAATAACAACAACAATCACAACAACAACAACAACAACAGCGGGAGGCAGATAGTGGACAGCTTGTGGAAGTGAACTAGAGTTGACTGCAACTTAATCTGCCTGGCGTTTGCATTGCTGCGAACGTTGCGCTTATTTGACAAGTGCTTCGGCTTTGGCTGTAAAGTGCCGTGTTGTTGTTGCTGTTGTTGTTGTTGTCGTTGCTCGCTGTCTTCCGCGTTGCAACTTGCTGCATGTTCATTGCACGCTGTCTGCTTTAGCCGAGACAGGCGGAGACTTTGATTGCAACTGTAACTACGGCTAGGCTTTATGCACGGACCGACTATTAGGTTTCATTGTTTGTGTGGGTTAATGTCATGTGTCCAATATATAATGCGAGCAGTCGGAGTCATACTGATAATGGCCATATCATACTTACTATAGTAGGCCTGTATGTATGTGTGTACTTATGCTACAATACAATAGGCTTGTTAATTGAATTGGGTAAAGGCCTGAATGACTTTCTATGCGTGGGTTTTATCGTGGTATGTGCTCACAAGGTTGGCGGCGCTGCCGTGAAATTGTAAGTCAGCCGAGACGAGACAGGCTTTAATTGTTTTCCATTCCAACTATTGATTTCATTTGAAATTTAAAATGGAGCCAGCCCGACATTTCGAGGTCTGACCCATTTGTGTGAAAAGTTTTGTCCATTTTTTATGGGTTTTGAAAGTTGTTGGCACAAGAGTTTAGATTTTATGTGTAACAAATGTAATTTGATGGGTTGACAGCCAAAATTGTAGTGGTGACATAACTTACCCGTTAATTTCTATAACGTAATGGATCAGGGTTAATCATGGCATTGTTTTGCTTTTGTTTTTTTTTTCACATCGGCTGCTTAATTTATTTCCATGCTAAGATACAAGTACATTTACATATACACAGAGTCAAATAATCTACTAACAACTTAACTAGCCAAGGGGTTTTTTTTTATAGCATACATACAAAAGAAATGAGTAGAAGGTATGAAGAATACAGAGTATAAGCGAATACATAAATAATAGATACAATGTACATCATATGCATTTTTTCTAAGGCACCGCATTTGCCTAGGTTTTGGGTTTTCGACTTCGATTAATTGTGGTGCGTACTGTGCGTCTTGTGGTAGTCGTTGTTGTTGTGCTAGTTGTGGTTGCAGGCGTGGTTGTGGTGCTGCTACTTGTGGTGGTTGCATTAAGGCCACGTCTAGCGTTCAAACGATCCCTATAGACACACATTAGTTCATCGGCAGCATCGGGACAATCAATTTGCTAAGACAAAACGAGGGAAAAAGAGTGGAAAATCTTAAATACTAGTGTTCAAATTTTGTGACTTTTTCACAATTGTTTGAAATTTAAGAAACAATTAAGTGAAAAGTTAATATCTATATGCTTCCCTGTATCTTACAAGAACGTTTTATTTGAGTTTAACTTTGAAAAATCTTTTCATGAAAAGTTTGCCAAATTGTTGTTCTACTAGAGGCAACTTTTTGTTGTAACGACACCAATTAGAGTAGAAGAGTTACTATAATTATTTGATTGGTCACATCTAAAGCCGTATTCGATCATTTTTCTATGAATATTCGATAGCAAAATAATATTTAAGAGATCTGTTCGTGAAAAGTTTGCCAAATGCCGGTTATACTAGAGGAAACTTTTTGTTGTAATGCAATTAGAATAATTACTCCAATTATTTGATTGGTGTGGTTAATTTCATATTCGATCATTTTTCTATGAATATTCGATTGCAAAATAATATTTAAGAGATCTTCAATATCATTTATGCTCATCTAGTTCTTTTGATAGTTATCTGGTATGTCGCTGATAAGTATTCTATACATATTAGATTATTATTCGTTATACTAAGTAAATGTTCAAGTTAAGCAAGCATGTATGTGTGTTTATTATTAGTTGGGCACTAGAAGACTTTTTCTGACTGTTGATAATCGTTAAATTCAACCGTATTTTAGGCATACTGGTACTATCTGATAGATATTTGATATGAAGATTAGATTCATTGTGAAATTCTGCCGCCTATACTCAAACGCATTTTTCTCCATTCGATAAGTATTCGATAGTATTAGCTTTATCTCACCTTATCACACAGCTGACTGACCGTAATGCACTTGCCACTCACACAACGCAGCTCGTGTGGCGCACAGGTCTTCAGAGTTCTATGGCTGGTGCTAGTGCGTGTGGGCGTGGCCACAGTACTTGCTACAACCCGTTGCTGCGCCTGCGCAGAGGCAGCGGTACGCAGCGGCGTCGAACTGATGCTGAACTTGCTCGAAGTACGATTGGCGCGTTGGGCCGAGTATTTGAATTTGTTCTCCGAATCGCTGGTCATCATGATCTCCTTGCTGTCGCGAAAATTCACTGTCATGGAGCAAAGTAGAGTTAGGAAAACATCCATAAATATTTGAGAAGCTTACCAAAACCCTTGGGAGCACCTGGGGCGGGGGTCTCGTCGACAGTGCTATTGGTGTTCGGCGCCGCTACTCGATGCACCTGATACTTGGTCTCCGTGCCTGCCTCCTCATCTGTGGTCGCAGTAATATAAGTGTATAGCTTCTCATCTGTTTGATTGGGTGACAAAAAACTGGCATAGGAAAATATTCGGGGAAATGCATTCAGCTCGGCCTCATCAAATGGCGCTGTCTCGCCGGAGCCATAGTCGTCACAATCCTCTTCATCGCTGCCATCGAAGCAATCGAAATTCAAATCGCAACGCACTGAATCCGGCACACACTTCTCATTGGAGCGGCAACGGAACTCGTCCTGCTGTTCGCACACCAGACACTGCACCTCATCCTCCCCACCCGTGCAATCCTTGATGTTATCACACTGCCACTGCTGTGGAATGCAGGAGCCATCCTCGCATTCAAACTCGTTATCATAGCAGTAGTCACGTCGTCGTGTCGGATCCTCACATTTGTTCACCTCATGCGCATCCGGATACAAATTGCAGTCGAAGAGCTCAGTGAGAGGATCCGAGCCGGCAATGACAATGGAACAGGCCTCCAGTATGGCTGTGAGGTGAAAGGAAAAGTACAATACACAACACATAGATCGTGCAGCTCAGATTAATGGCACTTGCTTCCTGTAGCGCAATCGTTCATTACCTTTACAAATGCGCCGACACGGCGGCAGTTGGCCAATATGCGAGGGTCGACATTCGGGCTCCAGAGCGGCGCAAATAAACTCTACAGAGCGCGCTGAGCAGTTGGCATTAATTAGCTGCTCGTAGGCGGCCATGGCCAAGGAGTCCCGTGGCGCCGCACTCTCATTATAGGTCAAATCGTAGTCCAACACGCCACGGCACATTGGCAACGTGGTGGAGTAGCAGAGACCGCTGTTGCCGTTGTTGCCGTTGCCGTTGTTGCCGCCACCACCAGCCGCGCTGCTAGACATTGTGGTGGTCATGGAAGCTGTCGGCTTCCCGCCAGCCGGAGACGGTGGAGGCAGCGTGGGTGACACGCGCGTCAAGGGGCGCACATTGCTTGCGGGTGTCGTTGTTGTTGTTGTTGGTGATGTTGTTGTCGTTTGCTTGGAGAGTAACTGAAGAAATAGATAAAAGTGTAAGAAAATTGTTACAAGATATTCCTCTGATTTTCCGAGTAATCAATTTTCACAAAGTTCCCCATTTCCCACCTTTTCATTTTGCGATTGAATTTTATTTAACAACTTTGCTACAATTATTGATATTGGTTATGGACCATTTCTTTACAACCACAACATAAATTTTCGAAAGGCTGAGTCAACTTTAGAAAAGACCGGTGTTTGGTCTTTTCTCTCTATACGGGATTCGTATTCAAAGTTATTTAAATACAATCTCTAGCGACTAATTAAATTATATCTATTTATAATAGATTAAAAAAAAAAGAGAGAAAACGTTTCATTGTGTTGTTTCTTCAATGGAATTCTGAAAACCAAAAAGTCATTTCATTTATCTGATAAGAACTTTACGATTGATAAATACAAGGAGGAAATATTCTTTGCAACCGTCTTGGAAAGAAATGCAATATTATTTAATAAATGCATTATTTGTTAGAGAGGTAGTTAATTACTTAATTGAAAGCAAGATAAATTTATAAATTAGTGAATTATAAAATCTATAAAAGACAATCTGAGCTGGTAACTAACACTAATTAACACTAATTAAGAAAATTGGAAATTTTGTTGATTTTCTGATTTGTGTTCACTTTTAAAGGTAAATAACACAATCTTAATATATCATCTGTTATAACTAGCAGTGGTCGACATAAGCAAATCAAACAATAGCTTTTGAGACAGAAGTTAGGGTATATTTAATTTAAACTGGTTATAAAATACTTCAATAGTTTAAGCGCAACCCTTACATCCTTTTAATCTTTCATAGATTTTTGGTGGTTTCCACTTAAAAGTATATATTTGTTGTATTTATAAATTTATATTCATATTCTAAATAGTTGAGCATTTAGTAAACATTTGATTCGAAATTGGAAAACGACATTGGCGATAAATACAGTATATAATGTTTAAATAACCTGAATGCCAAATATTTGTTGTTCTGTTTTTCATGTGAAAAGTATTATGGACACAAATGTCGCGGTATTTCATTAAAATACACAGTAAACAAATGGTTCCACTGATTTCAAATTAATGTTTTGATACCGCTTGAAAATCTTGAAAAGCTATTCCTAATTTCTATAAAAGAAGCTTTTTATACAATTGTTTGAATGATATTAATTTGTAATATACATTTTTATGATTTAATATTTTGGTTGCAAAGCTTTTGATTTAATAACTGCCAGAAAGCTGCATTGCATAGAATTTAACATTTTATTTGACGGTATTTTGCAACTTGAATGCTGTGTTCGCTAGTTTTCGGAAATGTGAAGTGCCACTGGCAGGATAATAAAGGTTGCATGTAGTATCATCCGATCACTAACGTGACGCCAATTCTGGTTACCTTTGCTTTCTAATTATTATTCATTAATCTCTTAGGAATATGTAGTACGAACGGGTTCTGTCTCGCAAATTCGAACACTTTTATGTAGAATTTGAAATATGTTTGCCTTTCGTCCAAGTGTTTCCTTTTGGTTTTCATGCTTTGTTGTTGCACAAATAAATATTTATTTCTGATGACAGTGCTTTACTGCATTTACGTTCCAGCAAGTAAGGCCAAGTTAATGAGCATGATTGAACTTTTTCAATGCAAGTGTCCCTATTTTTCACACACATGACTGTATATTTATAATGTTCTGCAGTATATCAGAACCACTAAAGAAATTGTGCATTAAAAAATGATTTAGTAGTAGTTAGTATTTAGAAAAATATTCCAAAATATTTTTGAAGTCAGAGTTTCGAGATGGGAGAAGAAATTAAAGGTTATAATAGTTTCCAAATGTCTAGAATTTATGCACGTCAACACAAAATGTTGGTCTACTTAGAAATAATTTAAACCTTTTAGAATGTTTATTAATATTCTTATAGTCAGTAATACTTACATCTTTGAGCAGCTGCAGCATGCGCGTGTCATGCTCTATGGGAACCCCAAAGCTGTTCTGGTGCCCCGACGTGAAGCGTATGCTATCCGCTGGCTGCAGGGCATCATCATAGTCCTCATCCTCGACGCTCAGCTCCAGCGTTGGCTCAGTGCTTGACTGTTGTTGTTGCTGCTGTTGAAGTCGTTGCCTATTCCTGGCGCCTACAGCTCTGAGTCGTGTGGATTCCAGTAAGACGTTGCCATTGTCGGTGGTGGTACCCGCCGCCGTCGTTGACGTTGTCATTATTTCTGTGCCCGTGCCCGTGCCGATGCCCTGCATTTCCGCATCGTGCTCCATTGTTGATGTGGTTGTTGTTGTGGCTGGTCTGCTGGTCGTGGTGCTGCTTGCCTCAAAGCGCCTTTGTAAATAGCGCGCACGTGCCACACTCACATCGTGCAGCCAGAGGCAATAGGTGATGAGCCCGAAGAAGAGCAGTACGCTGGCCAGAAATATGATGGGCCAGCGCATATATTTCCAGCGACAAGCGTGCCTCACATAAGCGAGCAGCAAGCGTGGCGTTGGCTTCTGCCCTCCAACGCCGCCGCCGCCGCCACCGCCCGCACCACCGGCAGCAGCGTTTAAATAATAATTGGCTGTCAGTGGATACTTATAGCGGCGTACCTGTAGCTCGGCCAATGTTTCGGAACTGCCCATCATGTTGATTTTATATTTTTGTGTTTCACTCCAGCACGCAGTGACGTCACTGCGCAACGTTGAGGCACGCGAGTAATCATCGAAAGCAGCCATAGCATCGACATCGGCATCGGCATCAGCAGCAACATCATCAGCATCGGCATGTTTATTGGCCAACGTTTGTACTGTTATGTTGAGGCCATGTGGATATTTTGTGGGCTGACGTCTTAATCCGTTTGTTGCTGCCACAGTTGCTGCTGCCTCATTAGTCATGCTTAAGCTGGTGGCATCTTCGAGACGCGCCTTCGAGCCGCTCATGATTCGTCTCGGTTCACCTTTTGTGCAATTGCTCCAAGACTTCAATCCTACTGCTCTTCTATATAGCTGCCAAAATGTCAATGGATTGTCTTTGTTGTGATTGCTGTTGCTGTTGTTGTTGTTGTTGTTGACGCGCCTGTTGGCTGCGCAAAAGTTACATAAGCATTGCAATCGGTTGCAATTTTATATCTGGCAAGTAAATTGCTATTGTTGTTCGCCCAACTCTCTGCGCTAGTATTTGCTAATGTCAGTTTCACATCGGGCTCATCAAGTCTAGCAAAATGCTAAGCAAATGCTTGTTTAGGGCAACTTTGTTGCTGTTATTGTTGTTGTTGTTGCTGTGGATGATGATGCTCCGTGCCGCGTCTCTTAATTGTGTGCAATTTTCGTTTGAGCTCCTTTAAATAAATTTCAGTTAGTTGTTGTGTGGCATGTGAGAGCAAAAGTCAAAAGTTGTATTTGAAAGGCAATCGAATTGCAAATAATGTTGATAAAATGAAAGTACTCGCTGTCAATTTTCTTTCCCCATTTGAAAGTTGTCGCAGCATCAGCCGTTGTTGCCACTGTTGGTTGCCACAATCGCCCAATCCAGTTGCTTCTTCAATTATTTTCATGTTTTCTACGCCTAATTTCATAGTCCATTAATTACAAAGGCCTTTAAAAAATATAAAAACTATGCGCATTGTATCTTAAACAAATGCCAGCTGCCGCTGCTGCTGCTGCTGCTAATAATAATAATAATGCTGCCCAACCACAAAAACCGCGCGTAGCGTCTTCAAATTACCCCAAAAAAGAGTACAAGTTGCTGGTTACACAGAAAATATAATAAAATAAAATACTGGTAGCAATAAGTACGTACAAGTGATATAAACATTTTTTCCCAGCTGTGTTGTCGTCGCTGTGGTCGTTGCTTTTAATAAGATTGTATTTGAAGCCCCAAAAGTATTAGCCAATAGTTTAGAAAAATTAAAATGCGAATACATTGGGCAATAGAAGACAACAACAACAACAACAACGTACAACAACTCCACAGCAGACCAAGTAAGCTGGGTGCCAAGTGTATGCGCAAGCGCAACTTGTTAGCCGGAAAAATACAAAAAATTGATGCGAGAAAAAAAAACGGGAAAAAGAATTCAAAGCTCACAGCGCCGAAGCGCACATACTCTCAGGAATTTATCCGAGGGGCATGAATATATTAAATGACTAAATTGCTTTAAAGTATATTTTTAGTACTACTTGTATATAGTAGTACATAGTAGCATATTTTTTTTTAATAAACAGTTTGGGAGGATCCTTCTTTGACAGCTACCTCTTTACTTTTCTGATTATTTTTATAATTTTATTATATTCTGGTATTCATATATTCTGGTACAAATAATCAAATCAATCTAATCCAATAATCCTACATTCAAACTCAATAGCTCACAATATTGTCAACCATTTCAAAATATTAAAAAAAGTAGGTTGCTTGATAAAGTGGTTTTATAAAAGTTTTTGCTTTAAATACATACATACATACAAAAAAAATGAAAAGAAAAAAAAATTTTTTTGCTATTATTTATAATGGTTTCTGTACGTTTCAAAGGAACATCGATTATCGAAACCTTTTGCTAAATAGTTGAACTGTCAATTATAGATTTGTTTTCATTCATGCAGCAATAAATATTTTATTACTATTAGGGTCCGAACCATGGTCTTGAGAAGAAGAAAGCCAATAAGCACCTTAAAGAAGAGTAAGATTTCAGATATAATACTTGTAATTATTAGCAATTCTATCTGGAGAGTGACTGAACTGGGAGAAGACCCTACAAGTACATATGTAGATATAAATTGAAGATTTTGATCGAATATGAATTCTCAAGTAACCGACGCCTATTCTAATGCAGATTTTCCAATTATATCTTTCGATTACTGCCGCTTGTACAGAAAATTACAGTTGCGTCAGTAAAAACGAGTTATGTCTAGAAATAAACGAGTTAGTAAGCGGACATTTGTTTAGCCAATAAGAGATGAATAATAGACAAATATTAAGTAAATCAACCAAAAACAAAACTATAAATATTAAATAGTGGATTAAAAAGATAAAAGAATTATATGAATTGATAGTTGTGTATATAGATGATAGGTAGATGTATATGAATAGACGGTGAGTAGACAGATAGGTAACTGGGACAGGTAACTAGGATGTTTAATGAATACGACAGCTGGTTAATTGTTGTGATCATAATTTTTTATCAAGTTTGCAAATAGATTTGGCCAACTTCATTATAATAATAGGTTCGTTACATAGATAAACTGACAGATGAAAGAATATTATGACGGATAAAAGGATTTGGACAAAAAGATATTCCCATCTGTTCATATTACTATCCAGCTACAAATAATTAAAGTAGAAAAGTAGTAGGATAGATGGATCAACATTAAGATGGATAATAGGGTTTATCAATGATGTTCCCAACCTCGTTGTAATAATAAGTTAGATGATGAAACAGATACTATAGATGAAAGAATTTGAAGATATAAGAGAGATAGAGCGAAAGATGAAAGAATTTGAAGATAATAGAGAGATAGAGCGAAAGATGAAAGAATTTGAAGATGTTAGAGAGATAGAGTGATAGATGAATAAATCTTTAGGTGGATAGCATGCTATGCAAATAGATTGGCCCATAAAAATCTTCATTCAATTAATAAGTTGATTAGACTTAGTTTCCATCTCTGCGTTACAAACCACACACAAAAGCTTTGGGACTTGGCGGAAGTGTATTTTCCAGCGCAAATCGTCTACGTTTCTTGGCTACACTTGGTTGCCTGTTTGGTTGCCCGACTGACTTGCTCAGCCAGGCCATTTGAGCGCCCAAGTGGCTGCTGCTGACCTTTTCACTTTTGTTTTCGTTTCGTTCCATGCCCCAAAAAAAAAAAATGGCCACATTCCAGCTGTGCCTCGCACGCTGCTTCAGTTGCTTTGCTGGCGCGACTCTGTTGCAAATGAGCGCGCCCCCAAAAAAGAAGAGGAGGCGCTTTTACGGTTCGGGTATCTGCCTATTAATGGGTAGCAAGTCAGGCAGTCAGGCAGTCGGGCAGCCCGGCAGCCACTATTCGGTCGGTGGGCCCATTGTGCGGCTTAATGGGCTGCAATACTCATACAACGGTTTCTTTTTTCTTGTACTGTGATGGCTGCACTGCGCAAAATCTTTTTAGATCTCGGTTATTAATAGCATTGCTGGTGGCGTTGATATTTTAGTTAAGATGCTTAGATATTTGCTAAGGTCAGTGGTTGTGGTGTTGGCGGTGCTAGTACTGGTGGTTGTGTGAAAAATGCTAGCTAAGCTTCAAAAAAGGTCATAATGCTAACCTTCTGTCAATGTTTGTGGCTGCTATCTAATGAGAATCGACGTTGTTTTGATGGTTTCTCGAGCACTGCTGAGAAGAACCTTGTTGTCTACCAATTTATTACCTAATTGTGATGAGGGTGCTTTGTAGAACAAACGGGTGCAACTAAATAGTAGAATATAAGAAACTCGTTTTACACCAATTTATTTCTTAGTTATGATGAGGGGTGTAACAAAATATTTATTTTGTGCTGGTTGTATTAAAAGCTTTGGTGAGTTGAAGAATGTGTAGCGTGTTAGAAGGTTAAACAAATGTCTCGAATGTTTAATAAATAATGTGTAATTAATTATCTCCATAAATTGCTTACTGTTTAGATTTACACCTGCGCTCAATATTTTGGGAATGCAAAAAGCAAAAGAGAAATAAGTATTATCGCCCATTCACAGATTGAAACTATTTTAAATTAGTTGACAACATATAGATAATAACTATTAAATAACAGAGATGAACAATGCAATGTCATTAGGGGCTACTTAAATGAAAATTAAGAATATATTATAATAAGAAAATAATACTCTAATACTAAGTATTATTATTTATTAATATTGTAAATATATAGGAAACAAAGAAATCATAAATAATGAGAGTTACATAATAACCATATTTAAAAGAAAGTATTTCAGTATTAAATTTGATTTATCTATCAGGGTATAGCCAAGGCGCTCTGATCAGATCTTGGATATAAAACTGTTCGCCAACAGACAACACCAACGTTTAAAGAGACTCTAACCCCTGAACCTAGCCTAAAGAAGTAGAGACTTAGTATAATTTTAATACGAAAGTCTTTAATAGTCCCATTAAAGACATATCTTAAATAAAGGTAAAATGAAAAAGTCTACTTGTAATTCAACCAATCCTTTTATCTTTTCTAAATCTTTGTTCTTAGTAATATTTTAAGAATTAATACAAAGTGCCTTAAAAAATAAATATAATTACATATTTTAATGACATTCCGTCTTAATTTCAAGACAATCGAATAAATATAAGCCGAGTTATCGCACACCAGGCAACACTGAGTTAGCGCTATCGGTACAAAAGATACTACCGATATAATATTAAGTTCTGTTTTAAACTCGGTGAAACCTTTTCCGAAACTTAATAGTTACTAAACATTATAATTTACAATGATTATTGATTTCTCAGCAAATCCCTAATGATGTGTTTAATATAAACATTTTTAAAGGAAAGAATAAATTTAAATTGAAAATCTAAAAAACATCCCATTTAAAAAGTCGATCTGTCATAACTTCTAATATCTTCATTGGCTCTATGTACATATACTCGTAAGTTTCAGAAAACACACAGCTTTCAAATTCTTACACGATTTTGTTAATTAGACATTTAGTAGAAACTGGCCCGCAGTTGAAGGTAATACGTAAATGGAGAATCAAAACGTTTTCGCTTTCGATTGACGCGTTCTTTGAGAGCCCAGCGATGTGTAGCAGATTGAAAAGCTAAGTACCTAGATAGTCGGTTAACTGTTGTAATGTGCAGAGCGAGAAGATCAAACACATTAAGATATAGTCGAACATGCAGTTGCTGCCTTAATGCCACTTTTAACTGAGTTGCTTGTATAATTGGCTGTGGCTATCGGCGGAGCAAGATCTATA